ATAGAAATACTAACATTTTAGATCTTATGAAAACATATGTTATATTTCTAAATGGAAGATTATGTATGCAGCAGGTTGTCATGCAATTGGGACACCCAAATGTCCCAATCATGTTTGATCAAGGCTTTCTGACTGTAAAATGTCTTAGCATAAGAATTTAATATTAAGTGTACATTACAGCTGCATAGCAGTATGAAGCTGTTATAGAGCAATAAAAAAGGCGAAATTGTCCACTTGGCTTCCTTGACTATTAGTTACTATTATGTAGATGAGAAAATTTTTGCAGCAATTAACAAGAAAAAATATGAAATGTTTTTTAAGAAATAATAAAAAAAAATCCCATTAAACAAGACATGCCACTCTCCAAAGGCCCAAAATATTCCTCTGTCTCTGTGCCAGTAGCAAATAACATGCTTTCACTGGTATTTTGATGATGTTCTTCCGTTAAAGTGCACAGCAGCATGGGATGATAACAATATTGTGTGATAGTTAGATACAGTACTGCTGATGTTCTGCAGCCAACTTGAAACAGGACCATATTTTTTAAAAAACTACCTGCCAAAGTAGAGCATTAGTAATGTATAACCATGATATTGGACACAGCTTTCCAGATCATTCAGTTACATTTAATTTTGTTGACTTATTAAAAATTATTGAAGGGTAGCTCAGTATTGATGTGGGGTTTTTTGTTGTTTGTTTGGTTGGGGGTTTTTTGTTTGTTTTCATCCAGTTTGGCTTCCTTTCATTACCTCTGCAACTTGTGATAAGAGTAATATGTGAAACACTGACTACTTGTGAAAAATCAATCATCTTGGCAATCTCCAAAGGAAATGTCATAATTAGCAGGTGGAGATTATTTATATTTAACAAACTACATTGCTTGAACTTATAATTACAACTCACTTTAGTCCAAAGTTAAATGACAAACTCCTTAAATATGTTGCTTGTTGTCAGGAGTTTAGAATGCAAATGTGGCGTACGTCCTGTTGTTGTTGTAGCTTTGCCTGCTACATGGATAGCATATTTCTGTGTCCAAACAAGTTTTAGAATTGTATGAACATCTTATTCTTAGTTTAGAGTTTAAAAAGTATATATACTGTTCATACACATATGTACTCTGTGTGTATGTGCATGCCTATATATATACACACAGACATACATACTGACCGTGTATAGTCACTTATATGCCCTTGATTTGTGCAGGTGGAGGAGTCGTCACTTGTTTCTTGAAGAGCCGAGTCAAATATTCTTTTGCAATAGGTTAGTTGAGTTAAGGAAGAACATCCTTCTTAGATGATTAGATACCAGCAGTTCTGTGCAAGAGGAGGGACTGGAGAGAGTCAAGGAGACTGTGGAGTACACAGGTGTTTGTTCTGTTTCTGTTGCAGAGATGTGTTTCCCAAATAATCTATGTCTTTGTGAAATCTCACATTTCAGGAAACTATTGCTCGTTCCTCATTATGTTTTACGTCTAGTTGGTTGGAAATAATTCATGAAATTTTAATCAATGCAGGTGTCCAGTGTGATTGAACAGCAAACATAAGGCCCATAAGGTTCACATATACTGCTGAAAATATTAAACTTGGTGAGAATGTAACGGTTTAATATCTCAGTTTCTTGCTCTGGAGACTTGTAAATTTAGCATTCTCCAGGATCCTAAATATTATGTTTAATTTTATGCTTTTACAATACTTTACAGAGTATATGTGGGGTTTTGGTTGTTTTTTTTTAATTTTTATTTTTACACAGGAGCAAACTGTAGCTGAGTAACTGCTATAGCTCATGTTGTGCCACAAAAAAGCGCAATAGTGTAACAGTGCAGATACTTTGCAGTCCCTCAAGAAGGGAAGGGTGATTTGCACTGCGCTGGAATGTAGCCAGTGTTGGAATAGTCAGGTTGAACATGATAAGGATTTAGGCAGCCAAGTCTTCGACAGTAGAAACATCGGACTTTCCAGATTGTGGTTCACAAAGCTTGTACTGGAAAACGCTGATCACAGCGGTGATCTTAAATGCCTGCTTTAACTTGTTGAATTTTTAAAATTTGTGACTTGGAAAGAGATTTTTTTTTTTTTTTTTTAAGACTCTTCCCATTTTGCCCAGGCACGTATTTTTACCAAATGCAGTGTCAGTTAAGGAATGACACAACTGCAGTCTCCAGTACAAATGGAGTGTATGGATTTTTCTCCTTTTTGCCAGTGGAATGTTAAGATCTAGTTTTAAGCATGGAAGTTCTAGTACCTTGGGACTTAGTTAATTCAAACATCTAGCTGAAATAACCAAAAATTTAGAAATACATGTTAATTGAAAACGCGAGGCTAGCTATTAGTATATAGTAGCTCACGTATTTAGATTATTTGCAAAAATAAGTTGTGTTATAACATGTATACCTTTTTTCTTCATAGAAATCAAACAGTTAATGCACTCAAAGTTTTATGTGCTTGAAAAGCTGTCAGTTTCTGCTATCCTACATTTGGTTGTGAGAAACAACTATGCTGAAGTTGGGGGGAGTTTGCCCAGAAGCTTCAGGGGAGTATTTGTGAACATACACTTACTAGTCTAGTGATAGCTACCTTGGCTTTTAAAACTTCCCATCCCAGATGGCACCCTGCTACACAGCCTCTGGAATACTTGAACGGGGATGATTATAAAATACTGGGGGAGAAGGGAGGCTTAGGGTTGGAACAGGACTTCTTGTATGTGATGTAAAGAGCTCCCTGTAGTAAATGGCACTGAAAGTGCTAGTTCCTGCTGCTGGTGACATATTAGGAGTTTGTATGCACGTTATTGGCTTGATAGAGCTTCTGTGGATGCTAAACCAGTACAAAGTTGCTCTCAAGCTGCTTCAAGTATATTGACCAGTATCTTCTGCAGCCCGCAGCTTGTTAAGTGTTTGGTAGCTTCTATTTTGCTTTTCTATTGAACAAGGTAACTTCTTCATAGGTAGTGATCTCAACATGTCAGCTGTGTTTTGGAGAGTCTTTGAAGTACGGTTGCTGTTTTCTGGCGCAGCATACACTTAAGTGCTGATACTTGTCTTATATAGAAGTTATCCACGATAGGCTTTTTTTTTTTTGTTAAGTGTAGGTATAAAATTATTGATGTGTAGAATTTCACAGAATGTGAGAATCGGCTAAACATCAAGTACAGGAACATACAGTTCGGGACAAATCTGCATTCAGCACTTCTAGAATTCTGACTTGTTCATTCATTGTCCTGCAATGCTACTGATGCAATACATAGTTTTTAAAATGGAGACAATGTCCTGTCTTGGGGCTCCAACTGCAGTCTCCTTTATCCTTATGTCTTCTTAACTGTCATCTGTCTCTCCCTCCTCTTTTCTTCTAGCTAGATATAACTTATGGTTATGCTATTTAGGAGAATCAGTACTTCTTTTCACATTGACAAAAGTATTTAGTGGGTCTTACAGGTTTCTACTAAGCGAATGTTACCTATCTCAGTTAGGAGTGAGCTGGATTTCTGGCCCTGTCTTCACAAAGCAGTCTTCCACATTTCACTTACAGTGAAATGGGCTGAAAAGGTCTGTCTTTAAAGCTACAACAAAAGATAGGATACTTAAAGTATGGCTTGCTGTGTCTCAATACCAAGGTTGTTAATCATGTTTTCCATGTCTTCATTTCCAGACTTCAGAATTTAGCATTTAGTGGAGGCTAACATGGCATCATAAAAGGGAAGAAGTTTGACTGTGTACTTTCGGCAAGTAGCTTCAAATTTGACAAATATTTGTCAGCTAAGGGCTTTTCATAGCGGTTGTGAGAGGAAGTGAATGAGTTTCCAACCTCTGTTGGACACAATTAATGAGATTGTTCCATATCATCCCTGTTCTGCTTGTTTTATATTCTTTTTTTCTTATCCTGTTGAGTAGAAACTAATGAAATGTACAATTTAGTAGGCAGATGCCGAGTCTCTAAAACATTTATCTTGCTCTAAATGGGCCAGAACAATTGAAAACTCACTCGCTTTGAGGTTCAGCTGACACGGTTATGCAGCTTTGGATAAACTGCAGATAAACTTTGGATCCAGCTGCAGTGTTACAGTCGTACTTTTGGGGGAATGGAGGGATAGGGAATATGCTTTCTCTGCAAATACTTGATAGAGACATAGTAAAGAGGGAGGCGTATTTGGTGGTCATACTGAAGCTACCTTCTGTGGCTAGAGCAGGGGCTTGCCTTGCCAGTTGGAGGCAGCAGGTGTTAGCTTAGCAAGGATCTGATGGGTTTGGATGTAGTTTTAGGCAGCCTTTGAGAACAGCTGCATTCACTCTTACTTGACACTAGGCCATGTATCTAATCCTTTGGTATTACTGCGTTATTGCCCAAGTATATGCTATTCAGGAGAACGTAACACATGGTTTCTGAATGAATCTAAAAAAAGTTAAAGCCAGCACTTTCAGCTGTTTACAGTATCTCTGATGTCTTGTTTTTATGTGGCAGAGGTCATGGTACTGAATTTCAGATTGATTAAAAAGTACATACATTCTTACCAGTAGAGTGCTACGCTGTTTAGGATGGCTGACAATGCAGAATCCAGAGTCTCTTAATTTCAGTTTATTTAAACAGACTTATATGGTTAGTTATTGGTCAGTAGCAGAGTAAACCCAGCAACAAGTCTGTTCAGTGAAATTCTTATAACCTGGTCTGATGCTCCCCCTGTCTAAAACCTGAACCCAATCCTTTAAAACTACCGAATGTGGCATGCAGCTCTAATTCTTTATCTGAGTAAATGATAGCTTAACAGAACACACACCTTTTATATATTGATCAAAGATTATTGTAGGATGATACTTCACTCAAATTTGACTCTCTGTCTGTATGCCAGTCTCTATGTGACTACTGAGCTGGGCAAAATGTGTATCTTTTTGTTCCTTAGCTGTAATCAAGAAAAACTTTTTTAATAAAAAAGTCTTCAACATATTATACTAGCAACAATAAACTAATGCTAAACTAACTTGAAATAATTGATTCTTTTACAGTGAAAATGTCCTGTTTGGAATGGGAAATCCTCTGCTTGATATCTGTGCAGTTGTGGACAAGGACTTCCTTGACAAGTAAGTCTTGATTTCTTTTTTTCTTTTCAATGTCAGTTTTGTTTCCAGAATGGTGCCCGTAAATAAACAGAGGACTATCTGCTTGTGTAATGTTAAGTTTCTGTTGATCTCTGTGGGATTCTGGCCTCATGCTGGAAGAAGCCAACATTGTATAAAGTCATTTGGTGGTTCTGGATATATGAAGCTGTGTGGTGGTGTCAATGAAAAATTTCAGTGTTTTCATGTGGTTTTGGTATTTATTGTTTTCTATCAATTATTCCAGTCTCTTCGTGCTGTCTTTGCTAGCCTTTAATTGGAAGCAATCATCAGTGTCTGTAAGGTGTAGGTAGCTCTTGTATATGAATATTTGTGTCTTATTTTTGATGTACTATTTCAGCACTCTCTTATTTCTTCAGTGATGACTTTGGGGCAAATAAGCCATTTCTGTAACACACTGTTACAGATGCTGTACAAGTGTATCTTCTTTTTTTTAATATTCCAATTTATCAGTCAAGAACAGGACCACTTCTTATGTGGTCTGTTATCTTGCTTAAGTCTAGTTGTTATGTACCATCCATATAACCATATCACTGAATTGCTGTTTGTGTGTTGCTGTTGGCATCAAGCTTACTCGTTCTCCAATCATCTTAGAGATACGTCTTTTCAAGAGGTGTAAAATATAGTTGCTCTTTTAAATCTTTCTGCATGAGCTCACTTTCTTCCAGTTGTTGTTGCTTTGTTTTTCTTGTTTGCAAGTGATCAGTAAGTTGATTTCACCTTTCAGAGTACTTGCAATTCTTTGTTTAATTTTTGAAGTGTTAATAATAATTTTTTTCTCTAGTCATTCTTTTAGTTATTAATGGGAATACTGGATCAAGAATAAATTTCACATCACCAAATAAAGAACAGGTGCAGAGTTTTTATTTGTGAATGTGTACTGTCAGCCACAAATCTTTTGTTTTGAAGCTTTTAATAATAGTGATAATTTGTTTTGCAACAGATATCTTATCACTCAAGTTTTATCTAAAGATGTGTTTAAGTGAGAGTCTGAATATTATAAGCTGGAGGCAAAAGACAAGAAGACAAGAGAGTATCCATCTCAAAAACATCTGGAACTTTGAATGCTCAAGACATAGACTCGATTTCTGAAAAAGTAAATTATCCTGATGTAATTCTCTGCCTTAGTTTCTACTGAAATAAGTTGAAAACCAATCTCTGAACATAAGTAATGCCCCTGCCCCCAACCCAACAATATCCCTCAACTAATCCTTGTAAATTGCTGTCATAAAGGAGGTGGTGGGATCTGTAGTGCAGCAGTGAAATCCTATGAGAGTGCATTGTGCTTTTTACTGGACGTGGTATGCTCTGCAGAATTTAATGTAAAAATTAGAAGCCTTACGTACTCAAATTTGAGTCCTGTCAGACAAGTTAAATTATCTCCTGGAACAACATATGCTCTGTGAGCATTTCTTTACTGCTAAAATGCCTTTGTGGAGTACTGCTTATTGCTTTAAATAATGCAATCCTCCAACAGGAGTTTCACAGGGGACCTGCTGGTAGTGTGATAGCCCTGTTAATAACCTGAAAACTGAGAAGCTTGTCTACCTTCTTCACACATACCTGATTTTATTTCTACTTCCCTATTTGTGAGTGTATGCATAGTAGTCCATTTAACAAATGGACAAGTATGTTTCTACTCTAAGTCCAGCTACCTTTTGCAATACTTCCTGAAGTGGGAATCAAATCCCACGCTTCTTCAGCTTGTGAAGGGAGATAAAATAGCAAACCTAGCTGTAGAACAACTGCTAGAATAAAGTTATCTATTCAAATGCTGCAGGGAGGTGCAAGAACATAGATATTTCGGGACTGTGAAGCATTTGACAGAGAAATCATCGATCATACTGGCCTAGTGTCTCTGTTTTCTCTTGTCAAACAAGACAGGCATCCATCTCTAGCCACGTAGTGTCAGCAGTATCTTGGCAGTGATCAAATAACTCTGGAGTCTGTGTCTCACCTCTTCAACTGGATGAGCATGTTTAATGGGGCCGTCAGGACAGCTGGGTTCTGACTTGAGGTAGCTTAGTAAAATGAGGACAGAGTTTAGGTAAACACCCATAAGAATTTTATACATTTAACTTTTTCATTGTTTCTGTTAGTTTATCCTCCTCTCTTGTATAACCAGTTTTAAGAGTAACTACTTTTGTTCCAAATAACGGACTTGATGTTGCAAGTTTAATCGGCATATATTGTCCATGAAATGAGAGAGTACTAAAATGAGTCCTGTAACCAGATTAGTTTTGTAATTCTATTAAGAAAATGAAAATGGAAACAGCATAAGATTGTGTAGGAAGTCTCAAGTGGTCCTTTTAACAATATTTAAATGGCTTACAACCCATGTTATAAATAAACCTGAAAATAAAAATATAATGCAGTCCTACCCCTGGCTTGCTGCAATGTAATAACATTGGTTTGAGGAAACGAGCAGTATTGGAGGGTTTGGTGGGTATTTTTGGCTTGGGTTGTTAGCACAGCCCTGTCACCTTTCTTTCAAAGTGAGTTTTGGTTTAATCTGGGCTCCAAAGTCTTTTGCTCTCTTGACAAGTTTTGGAAAGCTTTAAGCCTTTCCTAGACTTTTTCTAGGAGAGGTGGTCTTAATCTCTCACAAGAGAACTTCACTGTGTCTGTCTGAGCTTTTCAGACCACATCAGCAGTCTGGCATTACCTGAGCCAGAGAAACTTTGGCCTCTGTCAGGTAGTTATGTTTTCTGTGTCTCATTTCTTATCTCTCTTCAGGGAGACAGTCTGAAAAAGTGTAAGCAATGTTGACGGCACTGATGATACCCAAACCCATTTCAGTTTCTGTTCACAGAGCTGGAGAACAGTCTTGAAGTAAATATAATCCATTGTATGTCCTTGGTTTTTCTGAGTATCTGCATGAAAGAAACATCAGAAATGCTTTTTTTGGGTCTCCTTTTAATTTGCATTAACTCCATAACCTAACAGTATTTTTGTTTAATTTTTCTAGGATGTATGTACTTGCTCAAAGAGCAGCTTTTCATGGGTGGGCGGGGAAAGAATAAAAAAGGATTGATGCTTTGTGGGTGAATTGCTAACTATAGCTACGCTAATCTGTGAAAGTAACTTTGCTAACAGGTATTAATTAAAGCTTTTGGTTTACTCAGTTCTACCTGTGACATTTAACAGGAATGATTCCATTACCTACTGAATCTATAACAGGCACTTAAGAATAACTTAATCTACACTACGTATATAAAACTCTAATAAAGCATGCAAAGAAATTCTGATTAACGTGGCAATGATGTTTTAAGACTCCACAGAATCATAGAATCGTTTAGGTTGGAAAAGACCTTTAAGATCATCCAGTCCAACCATTAACCTAACACTGCCAAGTCCACACTAAACCAATTAATGGTAGACTAGACTAAACCATGTCCTGAAGCGCCACATCTACCTGTTTTTTGAACACTTCCAGGGATGGGGACTCCACCACCTCTCTGGGCAGCCTGTTCCAATGCTTGACTACCCTTTCCGTGAAGAAATTTTTCCTAATATCCAACCTAAACCTCCCCTGACGCAGCTTGAGGCCATTTCCTCTCATCCTATTGCTAACTATTTGGGAGAAGAGACCAACACCCACCTCACTACAACCTCCTTTCAGGCAGTTGTAGAGAGCGATAAGGTCTCCTCTCAGCCTCCTCTTCTCCAGACTAAACAACCCCAGTTCCCTCAGCCGCTCCTCATAAGGCCTGTGCTCCAGACCCTTCACCAGCCTTGTTGCCCTTCTCTGGACACGCTCCAGCACCTCAATGTCTTTCTTGCACTGAGGGGCCCACAACTGGACACAGTATTCCAGGTGCGGCCTCAGCAGTGCCGAGTACAGGGGGACAATCACCTCCCTGCTCCCGCTGGCCACACTATTCCTGATACAGAAGCTCACTACTGCTGACTCCTGTAAATACTCCAATGTCCTGCTGTTAAAAGTTAGATGGCATGTGTTTCATTGCTCCCCCTAGAGCATGCTGTTTTGCAAATACTTAGTTTTTGACATTTATCTAACTATAGTTAATTTTTAGGCTGTAGAGATCTGCTCATTATGGCACCTCAAGTGCACAGCCAGTGATTGAGAAGCATGTGTTCACAGAATGGACAAGTCTTCCCTTGCTGTTGTCCAACATTTGGGTCTATGACTGCATGAATTGAGGAGAGAATCACTATTGACAAATTCATGTTGACAGAATTATTATGCTAGTCTTGGAACTTCTAAATACGTGAAAACCTTGTATTTTCCCTAATTAGCCAGTGGGAAGGTGAGGAAAATATATGTAATTGCCACCACCTGTATAATAAGCATGTAAATATCTTTCAGCCCATGTTCTTAAAAAGGAGTGAAGATATAGGGGAAATTATGATATATGTCCTATTTCTCACATCAAGGTTAAGGATGCTTATTGCTTTATTTCACTCTGTTTTCTGGGCTCTTGACCAGAGCCATGATCTCATGAAGCGAGGTATGTTTACTAGTCTGGATGCCAAATTCCGTTATATTTGTCATCTCCAGAATGATTATATGATCACCATCATTGTCCAGGATTACAAGTTGCTACTTGATTTACTTATTGGTTGTCAGAGCAGCCAAGTCTTTTTCTCCTTGTGTGTTGTGGTTTGTTGGTTTTTTTTTTTTTCTCTCCTTAAAATCAGGGTCTGTGGCAATCTTTGCACAAGTTCATTGGAGATGCTCAGTAAAGATCTGTAGGTTTTTAATAGCTTTCATGCCCTGTATCATCTGGTCTTCAGTTCTCTTCCCTGCCTTCTCTGTGACACTGTTGTAAATATAAACTATCTGTAAACCAAGAAATGGGTTTATATTGTTTTTACCCTTCACTGGGAAAAACTGGTTTGAAGAAATGGGAGAGGAAGAATGAATGGGGGCTTTAAAGTGTGTTTGTGTTTTGGAGTGTTGGTGACGGTTAATGTATGAAAAGAGAATATCATTATAGTGA